TTACTGATCAAGTTTGGTTCACGATTAGTTCAGACCTATTTAGATGCATATATATTTGTTACTAGGAATAACAGAAAGACCGAAAGTACCAGTATACACAGAGCTATGCAGTAGCTTCGATGGAAGAGGTTGCTCTTTTAGTACTAACCCTGCAAGCTGAGCACTTGACACACATTCTTAGTATGCCTTGTTAAAGTGACAGCTCCTCTTTATGTCTGAGGGTAATTTTACTAATAAAATATCTGCTTTATGTATTTACCATTTGGACTCTATGCTCTCCTTAGCACAAGATTTAACTTCATTTTGGTTTGTGTTATTACAGCTTAAAACTGTTCTCTCCTTACATGCAAAGGAGAATTAATATACCTTACCTTAGAGAACATGTCAGACTATACATGTACTCACCAGTCATCAGTAGTGGGAAAGAATCGATGTGTGATGACTGTATATTGCCAAATATCTTTATTGCTCTTTTAAAGAGTGAAATGGTGGGGAAGACCAACCCTAACACATTTAAAAGCAATCTTAAAGATCCAAATCCATAGCAGCTAAAGCAGGGAAGTCTTGCTGTCATTCTTGCCAAACTATTTAGTTTCCACTTTCAATTTTGTTTAGATAATGGTAATTTTGAAGTTAGTATTCTTAATGAATGGTGAGCACCCAAGTATTACTTACCCATGGGTTTCAGGCTGACTTCAAAAGCTATTTGGATTCAGGTTCATCATATGATTAATAAATGCTTGCTGTAGTTTATGGTTCCTATTACCAATAGAATAGGAAATATTCCCATTATGATTCTAAGAAATGATTGTCATAGTAGAACAAAAATGTACCTTTTCTTTAGCATTACTTAAATATTTATACAGTTATGTCTAGCATCAAGTCAGTAATTATTTTGAATTTACCTGTTCATGACCAATCTGAGTAATTCCTTCATGTCCTTTGTTTCTACTGGTTTTTCTCTTGTGTGGTTTTTTTTGGTTGGGTTTTTCTTCCCAAATTTATAGCTTATATTATGACTTTTGTAACAGCTGTATCTTTTAATCATTGCTTTCTTATTTCTTACCTGTGACTAATAGTAATCAGAGAAAATGTTTTGATTTTTTAGATTCTAAGTTGCTGTATATTCAGTATTTCCCACTATTGAGTTGTCTTCAGCTTTTGGGAGTGTTTTTACAGTCATACATGTGTAATATAAATATGCATCATATGTGTGTATTTGTATAGAAATTATTTGACAAAATTAAGAAGTTGGTTTTTTTATATGTAGCAGATGAATTAAAGAATGAACTTGGTACACATTTTCATAAGATTCATCCATTGGCTGGATGGGATTTCATCCAGACTTTTAGAAGTTGTCTGGTTGAACCTCCTGCTG